AATGTAACGTATGGTAGGCTAATATAATGATCATTAATGTAATCTATAGCAGGCTAATATAATGATCATTAATGTAATCTATAGCAGGCTAATATAATGATCATTAATGTAATCTATAGCAGACTAATATAATGATCATTAAAGTAATTTATAGCAGGCTAATATAATGATCATTAAGTAATCTATAGCAGGCTAATATAATGATAATTAAAGTAACGTATGGCAGGCTAATATAATGATCATTAAAGTAATCTATAGTAGGCTAATATAATGATCATTAATGTAATCTATAGCAGGCTAATATAATGATCATTAATGTAATCTATAGCAGGCTAATATAATGATCATTAAAGTAACGTATGGCAGGCTAATATAATGATCATTAAGTAATCTATAGCAGGCTAATATAATGATCATTAAAGTAACGTATGGTAGGCTAATATAATTATCATTAATGTAACGTTTAGCAGGCTAATATAATGATAATTAAAGTAACGTATGGCAGGATAATATAATGATAATTAACGTAAGGTATAGCAGGCTAAAATAATGACCTTTAACGTAACGTATGGCAGGCTAATATAATGGCATTTAAAGTAACGTATGACAGGCTAATAAAATGGCATTTAAAGTAACGTATGACAGGCTAATAAAATGATCATTAAAGTAACACATTGTGGTGTAAGATGTTCATTAATGTATAACACGTTAAAATAGCACAGTGGTCATCAAAGTAACACATGGTAAACCGAGATGATGATCAAAGTAACTCACGGTAAGTTACTATCATGATGATGAAACATGTGAAGTGTGCGTCAACAAAACGTGTTCCAACTTAAACAATAACGTGTTGGTTTGTTGTTAAGCGCGTAGTTACACAATGGACTATCTGTGCGTTGTCCAACACGGGCATAGAATCCCTACTTTTAGTGTTATAAGCCCACAGATTTATACAACTGAGCCGCTGGGGGCACAACGACACGTCTCATAGTAATTTAATTGGTGGAGCTACTGTAGTGTTGACCTGCCTAAGCCATTTAGTAGACTTTTATTGGTCACGAGACGTTGTAAGGAAGGATTATATTGAGGTTTCTGTATAGTGTTGTCCAATCTTTCAAGAGAAATGAGATTTGTGATACTACTGCAAGAAAAACACTATTGTACGTGTTTTGTAAGATATTATTTCTTTAACGTTATTTTCATTAACGGTGTAGGTTAGAATGTTTAACAAACATTTATATATCTATTATTATTATTGTGTATAATTATTATACGAATGATTTTGTTTCGTTACCTTAGTATAAGCATTTAGGACAAACTTAATTCTGCTAAGCTGGACAAACTTCTTGAGATATAATTGGGATTGCGGCCGAAAATGTCGCTAACAACGAGGTACCCAATTGATGGAACAGTGCGTACTAATCATTATAGGTAAGGTATTTATAACGGTATAATTGTCATTCGATGAACAACCTGCTTCAGTGGTGCATGGTAACCTTTTGACCCGTGTTTTGTGCTGTCGATATCTCGGTTAAAGTCTAAAGAATGTCCCTGATTTTAGGGCAAACTTCCACTATTTATTGTCGTTTGCTGAATTTGCGCTAGCCTTCCCTAATTTTGAAGTGTTAGACTGAAGGAAAGGTAACTAACTATTCGACATCACCCACTGCCAACCCGTGGACGAATCGAATAATGGAATTTGACCATCACGCTTATAACGGTAACAGGGCGCAAACCTCGGATTCACAGTCCGCCACGTTAAGCACGAGGTCATGTGGTCGTTGAATTTGCAGCTTATTTTAAATCAGTACTTAGTAAAGTTTCGAACGACAACCAAATGTATCATGTTGCTTAGTCATAGTTGGACTGAGTGTATCCTAATAATTAGCGTTCCGGGCTGCGTTCGAAAGGTTTGGGGGGGGGGTATCTTGTTTCGATCGGAAGTGGAAAAATTATTATTTTTAAACATTGCTTTTGTGCTCCATAAAAGATCCAGTTACATCACACAACAAAATTATTTTAACGTTAAGTTTAATTGTTCATATTCTAAAACTAATGAAATTATAAAGTTGAATATAACACGTGTAGTCAAATTACCTCTGTATACGGGTATGGGTGTGCACGTGCATGATTATTACGCGTGCCTCGCGATTGTTGAAAGGTAAATTTTCTCACCTGAGCTAGTGTTTAACCAGCCTATGTAAACGTTGCTGTCAAGGTTCTATGACAGAAGTGAACGTAAAATAAGAAGAAAAAAAAAAGAGGCAGAAATAGACATACAACAACAACTTCAGAATGTTATGATACTCGTAGAAGGGTGTTTGCCCTGTTCTTATTACCCCTTGCAAAAAAAGCGTATGAATTACAATCTTATTTTAGCGTTTTAACCCTTAGAAATAAACAAACTGTCCTCATAAAAAAAAAGTCTACAATACGTACTTTCACGTGGTCCGTGATTATTAGCTGGTCTGTTTCACTTTCGATGTTGATTTTTGTCAGCCGTTGAACGTGAAAGTTTCATTTATCAACCTGGTAAAAAAAAAAAATTCGGGCTCACAAACAGCTTATTTAATAAAATTATAAATTAATACCGTGTTAGGATTTCTTAGTTACGTGCACACGTGCATTGGCCAGTTAGGTACCCACGACGAACTTTCCACGAGAACTCTCGTATTTCTAAACAGTGCTCGAGCTGTAATCTTTTACATCGTGTTATTTTACTGTTTAGGAGAGAGTTTAATCAGAAGGTGACTGTTCTTTATTGGATACCCCCGTAGACTACATTGGACTCGCACGTGTTTGACGACACTGCGAGCTGCTAATGCAGACCTCCCCAGTTTTGGTTTTGGTTTTGTTTGTTCAACAACATATTAGGATCAGTATTTTTTAAATGAAACTTTATGTGTCTTATTCTAAGGCCGACCGGTGGGTCGCGACACCAACAGTTTGTAAACCGCCGAAATTATTTTTACAGAATACAATTTCGCCCCCCCCCCCCCAGTAGCACAGCGGTATGTCTGCGGACTTACAACGGTTTTGATACCCGTGGTGGGCAGAGCACAGATAGCTCATTGTGTAACTTTGTGCTTAGTTTCAAACAAACAAACAAACCAAAAGCTAATGCAGATCATCAGGTTAAGAACTACGTTAGCACTGGTTAACAATGATAAAGTATGAACACAATTACACGGTGTGGCAAGTAAAACAAGCCAGGAATGTGCAATATAAGAGCAATGTGAACAATAAAAATAAAGTTTCGATGAACAAAGAAATATTTGAGGACAGCAAGAATTTGTGTGTGTTTGTTTTTGTTGCATTTTTTGATTTGTTTGATGGGGCTATTTGCTGTATTCACCGAGAAGAATCGAACCCCTGACTTAAGCTCTATATATCCATAGACTTACCCCTGTCCCACCGGACGACAAACAGCAAGAAAGGAATTGAAGGGATCAAACCACAATGCATTCAAAGCAAATAAAGTTAGGCCTAGTGAACACAGAAAATTTTCTTGTATTAGGTAGTCCCAAAGCGCAAATCATACGGACGGGAAAATGGTAATAATAATAAAAATGTACATCTTGGTTGTTAATCAATATTTATTAAAATTTTTACACAGATGTATAATAAGAGAATTATATAAAAAAACAATAAATTTATTATATAATATTCCAACAGATGGCGCAACTAATAATTATGGTAAAACTAAGCAAAGTACCTATACTTTTTCCAATTCAATGAAGTGTTAATTTAGGAGAGATTTTTTTGTTTGTGTATTAAAAACAATAAATACGCAACTAGATGGTGCTAGTAGCAGTTATGATAACTGTGGTGCACATAAAGAAAGTCTATGTTTTTGTATACACGTCCTCGACCATTCCAGTAA